GTAGATGGAGCCGTTGTTGCATCCCAGAATGAGGAAAGATCCGGCCGTGTCGTAGCTGCTGATGGGAACGACGTCCTGGTTCTGTTCAAGCGACACAGCAAAAATCTTTGGACCCATTCACATTTAACACATTGCTCAACAGTCCATACGGAGCCCTGTCCCCACCGTCCAGGAACAGATCCATCGTCTCTCCCTCTCTCTCTCTCTTCTTTTTGGAATATATGAACAACACACATGCGCATCATGCCTCGGTGGCCACGGCATTGATCGCTGCTTATCCCGGCGTCTCGACGGACCCGCGCCGTTGGACCGAATCTTGGCGGAAGCACGCGACAGGACACGCAACGATATTCATCTGGTAATCTGACAGCGCGAGCGTCGTGAGCGAGCAAAAAGTCGTGAGGTGTAACAAGGCCCTAAGTCGTTTTTGTTGTTTTAATAGCTTGGGGTGTCATAAAAGCAAATCATACAAGTGTCAAAGTGGCTGTTCTGCTTAAAAGGAACGCAGTCTAGTCATTCTGTCGACTGGCTTGCCGCCCGTATTGCGACGGAACAGAATATTCTGTGGGAGGTCGTGAAAGAATCCGTCAAAGTGGCGGCAAACGGAGCGCAATCTGGGAACAGGCTGGAAAGCAGCCGCCGGGGCGGGTGTTCACGGTGTGCGCCCGCTCACCTGCCAGTGTTTGGTGACGGCGTTCCACACGCCCACCTTGCCGGTGTGACTGGTGGCGATCAGCTGGTTACCAACGAAGAACAGAGCCTCCGCCGGCACGTTGAGGCCGAAGACGCCTGGAAAGCACCGCAGCCCGACGTCAAGACCAACGTCACCGGCGCCGCGGTCTTGGAAGAGGAGGAGGCAGCGGTCGCCCTCACCGATCTCGTTCCCGTTGCCGTCCGGGCAGATGGACCAGAGGATGATCTCCGTTCCCGAGGCCACGGCCACCATCTTGTCGTTGTCCCCCAGGGAGCCGCCCATCACCTTGGCGTTGAGCGCCACCCGGTCGATCAGCCAGTCCAGGCGGGGAGAGGTGAAGACCTGCTGCCACCCGGTGGATTCCTTCACCCTGAACGCGGCAGGAAAACAAATACGTCGACACGTGCACGTGCTCGAAAAACACATTCAAGATTGGAAAACAAATCATAATACGAGATGATTTGCTCTGAAAAGTCGCTCCCCAATGTCGTTTGAGCTGGTTCATAATATTGAAACCGCCCTTAACAGACGCGAGCTGTGTCACAAAAGCGAAAATGATCAACACGAGTCACTGTTCTCCCAAAAGCTCTAAAACGGCCACTCGTGTCTGACGGCAGCTGGCAGTTAAGGTAGGGGAGGAGGAAAAAAAATGAATCCGGTGTCTGAAACCACTTGCGGTAAGATTTGCGCACCTGTAACACGCCACAAAGTGAGAATAGGCCACTGCGATCCAGTTGTGATGGCCGCAGATGATGCGAACCAATCCGGGATCCAATGACGGCCCTGCACGAGACATACAAAGTAGCAAGCGACACGCATTTGTTTTGCGCGCCCGAGCGCGGCGGCCCCACCTCCGGGCGCCCTCTCCTCCGCCCTGGTCAGCATGCCCGAGTTGCCCAGGTTCGGCGGCATGGTGTGGCTGCGTCGCACCGGGGCCCTCTCGCCGGGCGCCGCCCGAGCCGCCGCGAACTGGGAGCCGGCCACGCTGTGACGGTTGCGGCGCTTGGCCGGGTGCACTGCCACACAAAGAGGAAGTCGGCACGCGCGGCCCCACCGGGGCCCTTCCGCCAAAACCGATGCAATTGACCCGACTTGCCGGCCGACGAAAGGGAACCTACAATGTGTTGTTACGTAAACGCATTCGGTGGTGCTTTTCCTTCCTTATCTATAGCATGCTGTAAACGTTCTGTGGTTGGGGGAAATCAAGGTTCCTGAATGTGAATTTGTTTTCAAAATAAAAAGCTGACGATGAATGATCACGTTTCATTTGGTCGTTGGGCTGGCCGGTCAATCCGAGCAACGACACCATTTTTTCCCGCGGGCATCATTTCGCCACAAACTGAGCCAGATCCCCGGAAAACGATTGGGCGATACCGCTCGCTCGCTCGGGCGGGCGAGGCGAGCGAGTGTCCTCAAATTACCCGGCGGAGGCAGGTAGCCGTTGAACAGGACGTTTCCGCAGGAGGAGCGGTCCAACTCGTCACATAGCTGCAGCTTGCGCACTGAACACACAACAGGGAGGCCGTGAGAGCAGCGAAGCAACAGGACCGCTACAAAGTTGTCCGAAAAGATCGATTTCACGCCAACAGTGAGTTTTTTGCGTTAGCGCCGCCTCAAAAACCCGCTTGGAATGCATCCTTCCACAAATAGCCCCTTTTTTTCTGAATTGTTCTCAGAAACGGGTATTTTCAATGTTCAACTGCTGTTTACTAAAGAATGGGAAAAGCTCGATTTATTTTTTCCTGATGAAAAAGAGGATTAAAGCTTTCTTTTGGTTGGTTCCGTGCTTCTACAGCGAGAGAAGTCACATTTTCTCTCGGCCTTCAAATGTTAGTCAAAAGGTCAAAAATGACTGGCTTCCGGTTTGAGAAAAACAGCAAGCATCATTAAAGGAGTTAAGAAAGTTCAATGAGGTCTCTACAATGACAATGAATCGACAATCAAATAGTTGTACATTATTTTACTTATCGTCAAGTTGTCCGTCACTTGTTCCACCACTCATGTGTTTCAATGTGCTTATTCAAGAGTGCGGGTGGGCTCAAGCTTTTATTTTGACGGTTTTCACCTTTCAAGGGTGGGTGGGAGCATATAAATAAACGGGGGTTCACCGTCATCTCCACGAGAAGAAATAAACGCATGAATGACGACCCGAAGGTCTGACCTTCTTCTGGGTCGCCTCGGAAATGTTCTTGAAGCGAAGCGGTTCTCGAAAGACGCACTGGGGTGGATCAAGCTGCAAGGCGCTCACCGAGAGGCGTGATCCCGTAGAACTCGGCCTCGTGCATGAGAAGGTGCACGCTGACGGAGCGCGGGTGCAGCTCTTTCGTGCGCAGGAAGTTGAGGATGGGCGCAAACAGGGAAGGATCTCTGTCGATGAAGATCTACAACCCAACGGGAGGCGTTGAATGCGCAGCACACACGCCAACGGCTGCCGCTAATTGACTTACAGCCCCAGTTTCATCCTTCAAGGTGGAGATGCGCCCGCTCAGTAGACTGAAATCAGACAAGACGCACGGTTGGAACAGTGATTTTCGCCTTGAGAATGAAGCCGGCCACATTCACGTTGCTTTCAGTTGGAACGATCGTGTCTTCAAAGCAGTCAGTCTCAAAATGAATTCAGCACCACAAAAACTATTTCATTGCATTTTGTATTTATTTCTGTTGAACACAACGTTCCCAACTTCATCAGCATGGGCGTTTGCATTTTATCACGGCCCACTGAGCATTTACAGGATCTAGAAACCCGGTCACATTGTTTTTTTTTTTTTGTTTTTTTTTTTTGTTTTGGAGGGGGTCATTGGAAATGAATATTTTATTGATTCATCTCCTTAAATGAATTGCTGAATAAGTACATTTGAAATACTAACATTTGCATTTTTTTTTAAATACAATTAGCAGTTTTGGAATTAATTGGTAAATAATTGCTGGATGAATAAAAACGACATTTAAAAAATGTAATGAACTATTATTTTGCACACTTTTTTTAAATCAGGTGTGGCACGAGTCGTCTGTCCCCATTCCTGTTTGATCACAAAATCCTCACGGCTGGACTCCAATGTGAGCTGGTGCGTTTGTTTTGTGCGCCCACCTGGAGAAAAAGGAGTCAGGAACCCACGTGAGCGTCTGCCGGGAGGTGCTGAACCTGTAAAACAAACACAACCTTGACACGCAAGTGGTGTTCGCGTGTGTATTTTGTTCCGTTAAACGCCAACCCGTGTCGAAGAAGCGCTTACGGAAGCGCCTCGTCGACCTAAGTTACGGCCTCAACGAAATCATTGACTCAAACGAACCATAATTCAACATCCTCGAAGACGCGTAGTCGAATGGACACTTGTTCGTTCGTCTTGACTGCGTCTATTTCATGTGCACAGTTCGCATTTCCAATCCCCGCCTTAAGTTCCTTTATCGGCCGACTTTTTCTTGAGTTCTACAAATGTTTGTCTCACGGCGTTCTTATTCTGTTTTCGAGGAACAAAAATCAAGACGGATGATTTCCAAATACGTACTTTTGGAAAGATGGTGCGTTACGTGAAGTCGTGGGACACACCGCTGCCCGACGCCGCTCGATACAAGACGCTAGCCACGGCTAGCCGACACTTTGCTCAAAAAAGAAAAATCGAATAATTCCCGCTCACCTTTTCCCGCCCACGTTCAGGTGGATCAAGTCTCCACTTCTCGCCGTGTTGGACATCGCGCCGACACGTTCCATCGCCAATCACGACAAAAAACAACTCTTAGAATTCATGTTTTGCGACCGAGTCAGTTCGCGTCGTCGAACCCACTTCCGGGCTTGCAACGGAGCCTCCGGTGGGACAGAAAACGCGAAATGGCAGTTTTGGCTGGAGCAGAACTCGGATTCCCAAAGCAGCTCAAAGTGCCGATTCAATGCAGCGAAGGATGGGGTTTTAAAGTTGGGTTTTACACTCGGGGTGGGGTTTCAAGGTTTGGCTTTCAATTTGGGCTAAGTTTCAAACTAGGGGTGGTTTTCGGAATTAGGTTTTCAAACTGGGCTGAAGGTTTCGAGGTCGGATTTTCAACTCGGGTTAGGGTTTCAAAGTGGAGTTTTAAATGGGGTTAGGGATTCAAATATTTGGTGGGGATGCTTGAAGTCGACTTTCCAAGTGGGGTTAGTGCTAAAAACTTCCCAGCAGGGGTTAATGGAAAAACTGCAATCACGTGATTAAAAAAATACATGCCAAAATGCCATTCATCTGTTCCACTCTCACCACAAAAAAAAAAAAAAAAGTTAGGGTGTGTTTTTAACAATGAAAATGACGTGCGTGTGTTGATGACATAAACCAAAAAGTTCAGGATCTCATTTTAATGTGGCAACTTTCACATTGGAATGTGGTCAAGTTGAGGTTTGACCAAGGCACATTTCATGTCGAAAGGCGATTCGTTTCACAATCACACCCTCACACACGCTCCACATCAGACACGCTTGTTGACACGAGGTGGAAAACAAATCAACGGTGTCAAGTGGCATGCCACTTAGGAGAGTGAATTGAGTTCAGCCTCATAAAACGCAGCAAGTGACACGCTACGAGTCAAAGTTGTAATTGGATGAAATATTTAAAGGTCTGGTACAGGAGCTGTGACCTTTTGGCGGCAACACGCACACAAAATCTCATCGGCACGCTGACACGCTCATTCCTATTTGGAATGGGTAGAATGCAAATATTAAAAGGTATAACAAGTCAACTACAAAAATCAACTAACAGACGATTGAGTCGATAAATGCAGAACGCTCAAAACAAATCGCTGCTCACTGCCGGATGTTTTTTTGCCCCCACTTTCCTCACGTCTTCAGACAAAGTGAGAATTGAGTCAATGAGACGTGGAACTTTTGTCCTGCATCGTGAAAATGTCCAAACTGTTTTGGAGCGGCGTTTTGCCGTTAGCATCTGGCCATGGCCGCTAACTTTTCAAGTTGGAGCGGATTCACCCAATGACAACATCCAAAATAGTGACGCCAAATCATTCTTTTTATGTGACAAAGGTTTACTTTTAGTGTCTCGGTTGAAAAACTAAAAACGACAAAGAAAGCAAATTGTGCTTCCAGAAGCATATTAACCGGGCGAACAGAAACGCTAAGGCTAAGCTCCGGCTGAAGTCGGACCGCCGCTCGGACTTCCTGAAGCCGCTTGGAGTCCAGCTAAAGTCTGAGCGTCTCTACACCGCTTTGGGCTGCTTCCTTCCGTCCGTCCGTCCGTTCCGTTCCGGTGCTGTCCGGTCTAGGCGGGCACGCAATGGTTGAGCCTGCGCGACATGACGTAGCCGCGCCGACATACGCAGCGGAAGGAGCCGTCCGTGTTGACGCAGCGCGAGTTGATGCAGGGGAAGTCCACGTCCACGCCGCCCAGGCATTCGTTGACGTCTGCCAACAAAACCGCAAGGAAAGTGTTCAGGGAAAGCCGACGGACGCCGACCAAAGACGAGGCTGCCGGATGAGCTCAGGCAGAGCCGCGTTGGACGCTGACGGATCAACAGCAAAACATTCAAAGGCCCCCGAAAATGATTCGAGACCACTTGCTCAAGCTGTGGGCGAGCCGACGGCCAGCTTTGAAACCCCTTCTTTAAAACCCCAGTTTGAAACCCACCCCGTACTTTCGAACCCGAATTTGCCGTCCGACGTCTCACCGATGCACGTCATGGTGGTGGCGTCCAGTCGGTAACCGTGGTAACAGTCGCAGGTGTAGCCCTCGTCCAGGCGGATGCACGTGCCGTTTCGGCAGCCGTCAACAATCCCGCAATCGTCCGCCGCGCTCAGTCCGGCGTACGCGTCGTAGCGGCCTGCGAAGCACACGCAGATCGGTCGCACTCCACATGTGGGCCAAACGTTGCTTTCCTCCACATTCCACAAGCACATTTTATTTTTTCCCCCCAAATATGGCATGAAGCGGTGTGAATGCGTTGCGGATGCTTAGGGCGGTCTGGCACCTTTCTCGCGATTGTTTCACGTGGCCATTTTGGCCCACAGTTTGGACAAGGAAAAACTACAGAGTCCGGTTCCGAGTAAGGCTGTAACACAACAAATGTTACACCGAAAAACAAAACAAAACACTCATGTTCGAAAAATGCCAAAATAATTGGAGGGCGGGGGGGG